AATACCTCTCCACTTGTTCTATAATCCCAAATCCTCTTAACCAATCCAAATCGATTATAGAAGTAACAACAATTTATGTGTTATGGGGCCGCCCCCAACCGATTGTTGTAATTGTTCAAAAAATTGCTTGGAATATCTTGTAGCAATCTATACAATTGGTGTAAGTTTGAGACATTCTCTTGAGGTTGTTTATTATCCCTTCTTGGTCTCATTATGCTGCAAAAATAAGAAACAAACCAACCACAAAAAAACAATAGTATTTAAGCAAAACAGAAAATAAATGGGTCTGTTCTTCCAATTTTCACGTCGTGAGCCAAAGGGCTTCACGTCATGAGGACAGTCCGGAAAAATTTTCCAAATCATGACCTGTTTATGCCAAATCAATCCAAAAATATTCATAGGGTTTTGTCTAATGGTAAACCTAAACCTAGTAATCAAACATGAAACCTCGATTGCTCAAGAAAAATTTGAAATTTTGAACATATAAACCCTAAAATCAAGCCTAAAGTTTCAAAATGCACAAAATCAGAAAAATTAAAGGATTTAGATGGATAAATCGTACCTCGGATGTTGACTTAGCAAGAAAGTGGAAAGAAACTAAGTGGAAATAGCAGAAAATCAAAGTGGGGGCAACACACATTCGTGATGTTGGTGAAAGTGATCGTTAAAGGATTTTTTAGGGTATAAAAAGCAAATTGGTCCCCCCTTTTCTCACGTCTTGACATATACTTCGTCACGTCGTGAGGTTTGAAAATTGTTATCGGAGCTTTCCTTGAACCCCACGCCGTGGCAATGAACAGCTACGTTGTGGGTACTATGTAATTTTGAAAATCCATTTTTTTTCAAAAAAAAAAAATTATAAAAATTTTCACCCCAACACTCATATGATCCCACACTTAATTTAAAACACGGAATGAATGAGTGACTAGTTCTAAGAAGTAAAAACGAAAATGAAACAATAAAACTAAAAAGAAAAGGGAAGAAAAATTCAAGCCAAACTCGGGTTGCCTCCCGAGAAGCACTTCTTTTGATGGAGTCGTGAGCCGGACTCCTTCCTGATCTACGTTGTGTCGGTTGGGAGTGGATTCTCCATGCTCTCGTTTATCTCGAGTGATTTCCTTTTATAAGTTGCAACCCATCTTCTGTAAGCTTTCTTCAAGTTTTCTTTCTTTTTCGGGTTATCACTTAGATCTTGTTTGCACTTGACTCCTTGAGATTTTTCAGCCAATTTTCTCTTCTTCTTCTCCTTATCAGGTTGTTTGATTTCCACATCCATCTTGACAAATGTGGTATCTTCACTTTCTTGTCTATCTCCTCGTCACTAAGCTCATCTTTATTATTTGTTTCTTCGGATTCCACCCTTGGGGTAGTGAATGGAAACACTTCAAATGTGATTGGAGTTTAGGCTCTAGGCTTTGTAAGCTTGATTTCTTCTTGCGGTTTTGGCTTTTCCCAAGTTCTTAAATCCTCCTCCATCAATCTCTCCCATTCTTCAAGCTCATTATTATCTTCATGCTCTTCTTCATTTGGTTCGTCCATAAAAAATACATCATTATTAGCTTTCAAAGGTGTGAACGTCTTGTCGACTCTAAAGGTTATTTCTTCATTTCCCACTCGTAGTGTAAGATTCGATTCATGAATATCGACTAAAACTCTTGTGGTATTGAGTAGTGGATGACCAATAATAATAGGCACGTCTTTCATATCTAAAAAACATCAATTGGAAAAATATATTTTCCAATTTTCACCAATAAATCTCCAACAATGCCCCGAGGATAAGTAACCGATCAATTTTCCATATGGATTACCATTCTCATGTTCTTAAATTCTTGTAAGTTAAGCTTTTGGTAGAATAAATATAGCATCAAGTTGATGCTAGCTCCAGAATCCGCTAAAGCGTAAGTTCTTGTTAAATTTCCAAATTAACATGGAAAAGTGAGGCGTACTGGATCTCCCATCTTGGATGGTAATCCTTTCATCACAACCAATGAACATTGTTCATTAAGAACAAATTTAGACATCTTTTCCAATTCTTGACGAGTGTTGAGAAGGTCTTGAAGGAATTTCGCATATTCGGGCATCTTTGCCATGGGTTCAATGATAGGTATGTTAATCGGAATTCCCTTTACTTGCCCAATAAATCTTTTATGCTCTTTTTCCAATGGGTGTTTCTTGGCTCGAGACGGATAAGTTAGTGGCTGTTGATACAGCTTAACCGAAGAAGTCTTAATGTGATTCTGCTAAGGCCACGACGTGACATGATGCTCATCACGTCGTAAATACTGGGCAGAAAGAAATTCTTTTTCGTCCTTCACTTCTTTTGGTCGTCAATCACGCTGCTTTGTGGCTGCATTAAGGATCATCAGAGGCTCACAAAAAGTCCTCTCCCTCCTCAGCGTCTCCAAAACCTCCCTCAAGTGCTCCCCATGTTGCTCCTTAGTCCGGGAGTAAACCAAGATATCATCAATAAACACAATAACCGGCCGATCCATCATCGGTCTGCAAACTCGATTCATGAGATCCATGAACATTGTTGTTGCATTGGTGAGCCCGAAAGGCATCGCCACAAACTCGTAATGATCATAATGAATATTGAAGGCCGTCTTTTACACATCCTAGTCTCTGACCCTCATTTGATGAAATCCTGATCGCAAATTAATCTTGGAAAACCAAGATGCACCCTGAATCTGGTCAAATAAATCATCTATCCTTAGGAGCGAATAATGGTTCTTCAGCGTTAGCTTGTTCAACTCTCGGTATCAATACACATCCGGTATGAAACATCCTTCTTCTTCATGAATAGCATCAATGCTCCCTATGGCGAATTAGTCGGTCTAATAAATCCCTTATCTAACAGCTCAGGAAGTTGTGTAGATAACTCCTATATCTCCGAATGTACTAAACGGCATGGCATCCTTGCTATCGGTGTCGCGCCCAGAATGAAATAGATCTGAAACTCCATCTGCCTATTAGGAGGCACTCTCGTAAAATCCTCGGGAAACACATCGGGGAACTCCCGAACAATAGGCACATCATCCACGACCATCACCCCTTCAAGTTGAGTGTTCATCACGTAAGCCATAAATCTAGAACATCCCTACTGAAATTATCTCTTAGATCTCGCAACTGAACAAAGAGTTGGATCGTACTGGGCACCCTCACCATGAATAACCAGTTCTCTCTCACTTGGGGATCGAACTCTCACCAACTGGTGCTCACAATCAATCATATCCCTATTAGGGCCCAACCAATCCATACCCACAATAACTTTTGACCCTCACATGGGGATCGGAACCAAATCGATAGAATAACTCTCGTTGAATATATATTCAAAACACAACCCTTATGAACCCTAAAAGCACTAACTAAACGACCATCATCGATCTTTACCTCCAAAGAGTAATTTATAGTCCTTGGAGAAATGCTAAAATTCTTGCTAAACGCAAGAGACACAAAAGATCGGGTAGCACCAGAATCAAACAGGACATGCGCGGTCATTCCATTTATAGTGTCCTCAAAAACACGTCAAAATCGACTCCAAACAGTATCGTCAATACTCGACTCGAACGACTCCAACTGAGCATAGGTTCCAGTCAAAATCGATTCCAAACGATTCACATTTGACTTCAGCGATTCTCAATCGAAAATCAACTTTCGATTCGATAACAAACCATACCAGCAACTATCAAGAATACAACAAGCACATAACGACACCTAGTGTCCTACAGTATAGTGAGAAAACTCACCTAAACTAAACAGTATATTGAGAAAACTCATTGTAGTTTGAAATTCATTGGGTCGAATTTGAAGTTAGGGTTGGAGGAAGAATTAGGATTAGAGAAGTTAAAGTGAAAGTCGCTCCCCACTACAATACTTTGAATGACGGTAGATGAAGTTTGAAGGGAGTTATAGATGGATTAGTTAAGGAGTCCACCATTGATGACAAAAAGGAACGCATGGAATTTGATGCAACTTCATTAGGCCTAAAATTAGGGTTGGGAGAGAGAGAGAGAGAGAGAGAGAGAGAGAGAGAGAGAGAGAGAGAGAGAGTTGTAAGCACATTTCTTTTTAATATTTATTAAATATTAAAAAAAACATTAAAAATAAAGAAGTGTATAATAGTTTTTTTAGTTTGGACATGGACCAAAACCGCAAAACAAACTTGCTGAAAATGACCCTTCGTCCATTTTTTTAAAGGGTTTGAACCTTTTCCAAATTAAAAAATAAAAAATAAAAATACATATCAAAGAGACCATTTTTATAGTTATATGACTTTTATCTAATAATAAATAAACCATATTGTTCAAAAGTTCATGTTATAAAACTCATTATTCTAGTATCTTAGAGTACATTTATCCATGATCTTAATTATATTTTTTGGTTAGAAGTAGCCCTATATTTTAATTTTATACATATTAGATCTAAAAATATAAAATTTTGGTTGTGGCCCCTCCTGTTCACCGATTTTTATACATATTATATTTCCGCTCTCCTCCCCCGAAATCAAATGTTGAAGCTCCGCACCTGTGCTCAATCTTATATTTTATAGACAATAATCAAAACGATTGAATATTTTTTAATAAACGATTGGACTTATTTGTGTGGATGATGAATATAGTTTGACTGTAATTTAATTTGTTATGCGAATAACAGAACATCTCGGAACAAATTATGACGACTCTTGTGACTCTTGTGTTGGACGTATATTGATCTAAACTTACAATGATGTCAATACAACAAATCACAGTTAATGACAGTTACACATGTCGACTGTATACGTCTACGTCTTACGATTTGTTTGTTTTTTAATTGTTCATTTGTTATTCATGCATTAGACTTAATGAAACCGAATTGGTGACAACCAAAAAAAATAAGACGCATGGGAAAGCTAGATACACTCTTGATATCATGTCACTTCAGAAGAAACATGAATCCCCATTCCCCTCCTAATCCTCAACATCAGAAATTATATAAAAAGGTTAAGTAAAATTAGATTTATTCTGTGGAACAAACATTCTTGTATCACTAACACTTACACTATCACGTGTCTACATATATTTTTAGTATGTAAGTTATTGTATGAAGGAAGTGAAAGAGGAGATTATAACTTCTAAGTTATAACTTAGCATACTTCTTAAAATTTTCAACACCATCTTTAAGATTATCTGGAATAGGTGAGTTTGTGACAAGAGTAACCATTGATGTCGATATAAGCAATCTACTTTCTGGGTTATGAAGATCAATCTTCCATAGCCTCACCTCCCATACCTGTTCCAATTCTCATCATGTCACATATCAAGAAATTATCAAGAAAGAAGGGAAAAATCAAGAACCTGAATGGTTTTTCCAACGTGGAGAGGTGTGGCCTCAGCAAAAACAAGATCACCGATGTCAGCACGTTTGAGATGGTTGATGCTGAGCTGTATTCCGGCGACTCTTTTCCATCCCGACGCTAGGACTGCTCCCTTACTCGCCAGCGACTCTGCTATTAACGCCGATACTCCGCCGTGTAACACCTTAAACGGCTGATTGTTGGAGTATGATTCAGATTTCAGTTTCGTATTCGGAGAAGATTGAAAAAATTAATCTCACCTGACAAGACTTCTCGGTGACCTTAAGATGACCGGTGACTTTGTGTGGCGTTAACTCATCGATCTCAAAGCCGATTGCATGCAGCGGGAGATCCACACACTCCCAATTCGGTTCTGTCGTTGGAACTAATGAGTTGATGTTCGATTGATATGTAATGGAATCGGAGAATCAAATAGAGAATAATTGATGAAAATGGTTGTTTGGTATTTGTGGTTTGTGGATATCGTTTTATAATGGATGAGTCAAGAGGTTAAATAGTTACTTTCTTTTTTCAACAACAGTCAATGAACAGAGAAAAGTCCAAAAGAAGCAGCAAAACACGGCGGCGCCGATTAACTAACGAATGAAAGAGAAGTAGAGAGAAATCTAAGAGAAGCATTGATTTTGAGAAAGCTGGTTTATGAATTGGTTTGTCGAAATAGGATAATTTGCAAAGGAAACTCACTAATTTTTTTATTTAAATTTTACATTACAAACATTTTAATTTTTTACTATACAGTACATAAATTGTCTTATTCAAAATATGAAGCATCCTTTTGTGTGTGGAATATTGCTTGCATATCCGGGATATCATGTAATTTAACAATTTATATGACTAATTTATAAGAGTGTGGTACTTAGTAGCACCCATTATGAATTATTTTAAAAAATTATGTAATTAAATTATATCAATTTTTTAAATATATATCAATGTTTTCATGTTATGTATAGAGGAAAATGCAAAGATGGTCTGGTAGTGGTTTTTTTGTGGTTTCAATTCAAAAAAAATTATATTTAAATCAATGGTTTAAATTTGGATTTTTATTTTTGTGATTTTGATCTCTTAAAATTTTGAAAAAGGTTGAAATTGTTATAAATTCAACGTAATTAAAACTAAAACTAAAAAAATAAAACTAAAACATTATAAAATAAAAGAAAGAGATTTGAGAGGATTCTTGAATACTTAGAAGATTGTATTCAATATGGTGTGATTTTCTCTTTACATTTGATGGTTATTTATACTACATAACATCATATTCATACATCATCAAAATAGTAATTCAATAGGCAAAGAAAATTATTCAAGGGGTGAAAATTGTTCGTCCATATGCATTGTCTAACTTAATAATTTGATGTAATTTTTTATAACACTTCCCCTTGAATAACAATTTTTCTAATCTGAGTTCAACCTTGAAGTACTGCCTCATTAAAAACATTGCTAAAGAAAACCTAGTGGAAAAAATTTTAACGAAGGGAAAAAGAGTGTAGTATATAGTTGACCCCCCCCCCCCTTCATTTAGACATCTGTTACGTTAAGTGTTGTGCACATGTCGCATTTCAATGTCATGTACGTGTTTTCTGAAGATTGCAGTAGGAAGTGCTTTTGTGAAGAGGTCTGATACATTGTTGTTGGATTGAACATATTCTATCTCAACCTTTTGATCTTTTATAAGCTCTTGAATGTACTCAATAAACTTTGGAGGTATATGTTTTGTCATGTCGCTCTTGGTATATCCTTCTTTCATTTGAGTGACACATGCTAAGTTATCTTCATAAATTAAAGTTAGACCTTTATCTTTATCTAGTCCACGTGAAGACAAAATGAGTTGTCTCATCGATCTTAACCATATGCATTCTCTACTAGCTTCATTTAGTGCAATTACTTCTGCACGATTTGAGAATGTGACGATAAGTGTTTGCTTTTGAGAGTTCCAGGAAATTGTGGTGCCTCTGTTCATGAATACGTATCCAGTTTGAGATCTAGCTTTATGAGGATCAGATAAATAGCCTGCATCTGCATAACCAATCAAACCTTGTTTTGAATCATTAGGATAAAATAACCCAAAATCAGTAGTTCCTCGAAAGTATCGCAAAATATGTTTAATCCCATTCCAATGTCTTTTTGTTGGGAATGAAATGAACCTTGCTAGATCAATGATACGCATGAGACCAAGTTCATATCATGTATATTCTCCCTTACAACTTGCTTTTGATAAAGAACCAGATATATCCCATTTGAGAATTTATGTTTCATAATTTTATTTAAACATTTACTAATATTTAGTCTTGTATGAGATGATTCTTCTTCCGCTTCTGTTTTGTGCAATACATTCTGAAATAAATGGATTTTAATTTTCATCTTGTCATTTTGTTTAAATTTATAGTTACAATATGTCCAACATTGCAAAGCTCGAGTTTACAGCACTTGAAGTTAGTGGAAAAATTATGTGCCATGGATGATAGATGTAAAAATGCATCTTGAGTCTATGGGAATCTCAAATAATATATATGAATTTAATAATTGTTTGGATTTGAATATCTTGATATTACTGATCCAAATGCTAGAGATGAATGAAGAACGCTGAGGTTTCAAGACTTTAAGAAAGTAAATGAATACAACTCAGTTTTGTTCAGAATATGTTCACAACTGAAGTATTGTGGACAAGAAGTTACTTATAAAGATATATTGGAAAAAACTTACTCTACGTTTCATGCAACAAACATTACCTTGATGCAACAATATCGGTTGCAAAAGTTCACAAAATATTCTGAACTGAATGCATGTTTGCTTGTTGCAGAGCAAAACAATAAGCTTTTGATGAAAAACCATGAATCTCGTCCAACGGGATTTGTAGCACTTCCTGCAGCAAATGCTACAAATACTGATTGTCATCGAAACAATACATGTGGACGAGGGCGTGGTCATGGTCGAGGACGAGGTCGTGGCTATTTTAATCGAAACCTAAGCCATAATAAGAACCATAACTCTAGTCGTGGACAAGGTAATAATCGTAGTCGTGTCCAGAAAAGGAATATTTTTTTTATTAGAAACATAAATAAATATTAGTAAATGTTTAAATAAAATTATGAAAAATATCTAAAATATAAATAAATAAACATTGGCATGTATAAATAAACGTTAATATACATAAACAAAAACTACTTGCATAATTTAAATGTTAGTATGCATAAATAAAAATTAGTTACATAATATAAATGTTAATATGCATAAAAATTACAAAAACATAAAGAAATGTTAGTATAAGAAATAAAAATTGTTAGTAGTTCATAATGTCCATAATGAATAAGTTTTATTAATTCATTAATATTTTAAATATGATAGAGGTTTTTATAACTAATAATGTTTTTACTAAGTAATACATATCTTGATTAAGATAGATGTGATTTCCACTTGTTTAATAGTTTTGATTAGAGCTTTCGTGTTGATAACGTGTTATAAATTCGACGTAATTAAAACTAAAACTAAAAATTTAAACTAAAACTTTATAAAATAAAAAAGAAGATTTCAGAGGATTCTTGAACACTTTGAAGATTGTATTCAAGATAGTATGATTTTCTCTTTAATGGGTATTTATACTACATTACATCCTATTCATACATCATCAAAATAGTAATTCGATATGCAAAGGAAATTATTCAAGGGGTAAAAGTTGTTCATCCACATGTATTGTCTAACTCAACAATTTGATGTAATTTTTATAACAGAAGTATATATTTTGCTTTTTTATTTTATTGACAAATTGCAAAAATGGTCTATATGGTTGTCAAAATTATATTGTTTTGGTCCAAAAATATTTTGTGGTGCAAAAGTGATCTAATTTTTGGATACATTCTACGTTTTTTGTCCAAAAATTTTAACTTTAACAGTTTGGTTGTTAACTTTTTTAAAATGATAATTTTACCTTTAACGGTCATTTCTGCAACCAAACTATAAGGACCATTTCTACATCTATTCTTTTTTATTTTATTTAATTGTTATACATTAATTCTTTTTTTAATTTCTTTTTATTGGATTAATTTTTTAGTTTATGATTATATATATTAATAAATATTATTTTATTGGATTGTTAATTACATTTAGTTAATTATTTTTTAATTTCTTTTTTTAATAGCTTATTTCTATTTGATTGGATTATTATATATTAATAAACATTATCTTAAATATATAATATTTTTATATTAAAAATATTACTTTTGTATCACCCATAAAATTTAAGCCAATTTAAAACTTTTTCAAACATTTAAAATCGTTAAGTTATTACAATTTGTTTTCAAAATAGTTTCATATCAGAGTATCCCATAAAAAAAGTCATAAACTGTGAGGAGATGTACGATCACGCCTTTGCCTTGCCGCGATCCCCTGATGTACCTGAAACAATAAACTAAAAATGTAAGCCCGAGAGCTTAGTGAGTTCCCCCAAAATACCCATACCCACAATAATACACATATAATCATAAACAACATACTATGGGTCCAGTCAACCATCGGGTTGAAATACCTCAGGCCCTCAACCATCCGGTTGGAATACCAACATACTATGGGTCCAATCATCCTCGGGATGGAATACCCCAGGCCCACAACCAACAGGTTGGAATTCCCACATACTATGAGTCCAATCATCCTCGGGATGGAATACTCACGGCCCACAACCAACAGGTTGGAATGCCCAGGTCTATTGGCTTTTGCACAAAGCAGATAAGCCTCAACCGCCAAACAAACATGTGCACATATAACAGATAATCACATAACAGTCTATAGACAAGCAAACCGATCAAACTGATCATATCACATAACACACAATACTATCCTATCTACTAGGATACCGATCTAACAAATCATACTAGCATAACATATCCAGATAACCATCCAAAGGGTCGGCCTTAGTGCCTTAGACCCTTGAGTATAGTAAGGTTAACTCACCTCGCAAGTAGTGCTGAAGTACTGAACCTCTGACTGTTGTCTCACCGGAAATCCCGAACTATCACATAATAAATACCAAGTCAATACACCATATAACAGTCTTGACCAAGGGCCCACACAATCCATCATGTCCATTCTATTTATTGGGCCAAAGCCCAATGCCAAGTCCATAACTTTGAAAGTCCTTATGCAAAGCCCACTAATGGCCCAATTTACCAAATTGGGCCCAACTTCCTAATTGGGCCTAATTCCAAGATCCATTATCAAAACTTGGCCCAAAACATCATATTCATAAAGTCCAACAAAGGCTCAAATCCAACTACTCCATAAACATCCCAAAACCCGAAGCCCAAATGTCAAAAGCCCAACAGAGGACGTACGTGGGGCGTACTCCTCTGGTACGCTGGGCGTACTCGTTCTGATGTTGACCACCATCGGGGTGGTTGACCCAGTACGCTGGGCGTACTGGATTTACGTTGGGCGTACGTCGTGTTTTTCCAAAAACTTAATAAGTGCTTAATGACTTAAGCACTTAAGCCCAAACTTCAGATCCAGTGACCAAATGTGCCTAGGACCCATAAAGTCATGAACTTTATCACTTTGGATGTCCAGAAAGTTCTTAATACTTGGTCTTAATCCATTAAGACCTTCCTACTCCATGCATGGGACATCTTAAG